CGTCACTGATTGATCAACTTTGACCAAAATATATATAAAAATACTAACCCTGTTCGCTGTTAAAACTTACAATGCCAAAATTGTTTCCGACGACCGATACATAATTATGTACCGCGAGGAGATTCCGGGAAATTGGCGTTTGCCCCGAGGCCCAAGAACTTCTATGTAACGATACACATGCAGACGACAATGTAGTAATAAAGAGTTGAACAAAGCTACCTGTTCATCAAGTCACTTGAGTCAATCTTTTCAGCGTCGTTTAAAAGCTACTCTAAGTTTAATTCATTAAAAATACTCGACATAGCTTTAGGGGGCGGATTTTGTACGAAAAATATAAAAGGTCGTGAAAGAAAACAGCAACGGCAGCATATTTTGTAATTTTTTTTAACATTATCAATTGAAAACACAAATATAGTATCGAGAAGAGAAGGTGCGCAGTTCGGAAAAAAGTGTGTGGCAGAAGTAGGAAGAAGTTTTAAATTGCTGTTTCAATAACAGATTTTAGTTTAATTGGGCTGGCGCTATTTTTTATGAGACAAATATTAAAATCATCCATAATTATACCGTGAAAATAGATGAATAATATTTTCTAGAATATTTTACAAGGTGGTAAAGTAGTCGATAGTGCCTTTGTCGGTAGTTGCCCTCGAGCGTGTAGGCGTATGTATATAGGAGACGGGACGTGAAGGAGGCGAGAGACGTGTGTACGTATCGTGCCAAATGGAAGTCCGTATACTCTGCCTACCCCTCTGAGTAATACTCATGAGGTTTTTATGTAAGTGACCTAGAAGAAATTTGACAAAGAGAAATTCAGATTCGCCTCCAGTGAACCAGTTCAAATCTTAATGACCAAATAGGGTATATAAGAGCGTAGATAAATAACAACACCGCCATCGCCCCGATCGGCAAGGTCGTTTTGAATCTCATGAAAGTCGTTTTTTTGCTATAAATACTGTATATATATTTAGATCATATGCATTTAGTTAAATCTGTTATTTTTAAATTAAAACAGTTACTTTAATTTTATTTATTTTTATAAATTAAAACTAGCATTTATATGCTCTATTTATAATAGCTATTTATATAGCTATATTTATAATATCAAAAACATTGTAAAATTTTATAATTTTGCAATGTTTTGGAGAAAATAAAGAAATAAAAACGCACTACGGCAGTGTGCTGGATTCTTTTCCGTCTCATAAAAACCTCTTAGTTATACTCGTAAGAGGAGGTTAATTACCTGCCGAAGGACTTATAATGTTTATAACTTAATCTTACGTAGTTTAAAGGATTAATTTGAAATATGTAGTATGTGAGCATATTTAGGATCGTCCCAAAAATTACATCACATTTGATAGACCTCAAAATCCTCACAATATATATTATAAACGTTATATACGCAACATACTGCCAATGTTCTTTTTCTCATTTATACGTTACTTCTAAACTAGAATTTTCTTTTGTTCTATTTTAATTTAACTTATTTTTAATACCCGACATTTCAAAGTTTGTAAACAAAAAATTAACTTGTAGAAACATCCAGACCAGGAAAAATTATTTGTAGATCATAGAAACACTCGTCACGTATGGGATTCAAACCAGCGGCCAACAGCGCTGCAAATCATTGATATAACAATTATTGGCGCAACAATGGAATAACGATTCCTACCAAGACCAAATTCCTTAGAAAAGATGGCTTGTCGCTACCTTATATTTAGCATCCTACTAATAATAAAATTAAATCAAAAGCTAAGCATACCACTGCAAGACTTAAGGTTACTGTAAGGTTGTTCGGCGTAGATCGGACCAAAAATCAATATTCACAAATTTAAGGTACCCTTAAACAACTATGACATCAGGACTTCAAACATCATGTTTGATCGAGGGTGTGCTGTAAACCGACCGAACTGTCGAAAGTTAATAAAAAATTAAAATTTTACGCGACAAAATCCGTAGAATTAGTTTCAGTAAATGTGTTGTATTCATCATCTAAATATTATATATACAACCTGCCAAATATTATTTGATGCCACATTACCTAGTTGTAACATTAGTTTTAATATTAGCTTTCGTAAGCAATTGCTTGCTTCTTGAATTTAATGAAGTTGATAGTACGGAGATTACGCAAGTTAATCCAATGTTGATTAATTACACTTGTTGTTTATCCCACAAGAATAAAGTCCAATAAGCTGTTAATAAGATTATGTCTGTAATTTGTCTTGTTCTATGATATACTTACTTCAATAAATTTTGCGACATAGGGCTTAACTTTAATATTAAGTGGTTGTTAGAATTATAAATAGAAAATGAAATAAAACACAACATTTATTTAATTTATCTAAATGAAATCCATAATAAAAATTGTCAATTCATTTTAATTATATTTAGATCAGCCGACACTGGATCAAAAATCGGATTTCGAAGACATAGACCCTAAAATTTTTAAGTGTCGTTTTTTAAGCTTGATATTATTTCTGTTTATTATTACTATGGTCAAAAACTGAGGACTTATGATTTTTTTACGAAAAAAAAAATGAAATAAATGTATGGACCAAATACGAAAAATCAGTATAGCCCTGGAATCGCACAATTGCGCGTTATATCCTTACAGGGGGTTACAATATTAATTATTTATGATTTTTTTTATATACTTCACATTAAGTCAAATACGCATTCTTAAAATTTGCATTAAAACAAGTTTTAAAAATATTTTTTAATTATATTTAAAACTTGTTTTAACGCAGAAAGATAACTGATACGGGTTCTTTTTTTGCTTAAAGATATGTCAGAAGAAAGATTTATTACAACATCAAACCGGCCTCAATCCGATGGTAATAAAAAAATATTTGATTCTACTGCGGTTTTCTAAGAACTATATAAAAACTAATAATAAAATGATTACTTTTTGCTCGTACTACTAATGTGTCATAATCAGATCTTTTTTAGAACTCATAACTAACAAAAGTTTCTAGACACAATAGATACGTGATTTTGTAGGTCATTAATAATCTCTTAATTAGAGGTAGTTCACAAAATAGTTTAAGGTCATTACTAATACTCGAATTTCATACTACTTTATCAATAAAATGTCATTAGATTTGTTAACAGATCATTAGTAAACGGTCATAAATCGGCTAAAATATATTAATTAGGTCAATTTCTTCCGAACTTTTTAGTCACGAACATAAGTCATTGACTATATGGAAAGTTTATATACTAATCTGGATTCATTTACAATTCTGAATAGTCAGAAATTTCATTTGATCATGAAGTACGGTTTAGTGAAATGTTAACTCGACTAGGTTTCAGGCCTTCTGAACAAGACATAGTTCATCTCAAAGAATTTTGTCGGAGTTTCACAATTACTATTGAACGTAGGTGGAAGACAATCAGTCGCAAAAGTGATAGATTTCGGAAAAAAATCAAAGTATTCTACATTGATTTTATTCAATATTGATTATATTGGCTAGAAGATTATGTAGATTGGCAAAATTGGGTTCATACTATCCTTCAACAATACCAAGAAGAGTCATCTAGTGAAAAATTTACAACTGCGTATTGTTTAAATTCATCCTTGGTTGCAACGATGACAAAAATATCTCGAAAGCCCTTCAAAGATCTAGCAACAAAGCAGAAAAAGAGAAGGTTTAGCGAACATACAGGCGAAGACCGAATCGAATGCACTTATCTGTAAAGATTATGAAAGAAGATGATTATGACGATATCGCTTCCGGTATTAATTACATGCTCGAAAATCCCGAAGCAGTCGCAAAATTTAATAAAATGATAAAAAACTAGTATCGTCAGCTTTTACGCCAGGAAAAGCACTGGCCCTTATTTTTTTTATTTTTTTTTATAGGATACGGTGACAAACGAGCACACAGTCCACCTGATGGTAAGTGGTTGCTGCGGCCCATAGACATCTACATCTATCTTCCATTACAAATCAAAATGCAGATGCGTTGTCACCCGTGAGGACTGAGATGGAATGCCTCATTTCCAGTAAAAAGGGTCTCCGGTTCTCTACACTCACCATACGAAATACAGCAGAATTAAGCTACTATTTCACGCTGGTATTCTGTGAGAGCGTGGTCCTTGCCCGGTCGAGCCTACCCATTCGTGCTACAACTATACTACTAATATAATTGCAGCATGGCTCTACCACGTAAATAGATATGCTTTCTCTTAAATTAAGGGAGGGGAAATACATCGCTTTGCGAAAAATTACAATTCGATAAGGTGCTGAAGACATCGCCTCTTTACAAGAACAACGTGATATTTTTTAAACCACAACTTTACAGGAGAGCAATTTTAAACATTTAAGCGTTGATAACTTCTAAAATATTGATTATTTTTCCATCGGAAAACAATTAAATTGTTGCGGTAATTAATGTGCTTTCTGAAAATAAGCAAAAAAAACTCAGTGCAATAAGAAATAAGTAAAAAAACTGATTTAAAAAAACACAGGCAAACATGTCACGTTTTTGATGAAAATTTATCACAAAATGCTTGTAACATATTGATATATCACATTGAAAATGTTAAATTTAGGTGTAAGGCTGTGTGATAAGTTAAATAAAACACAGTATCAAAATAAAGATCTTGTATTTAAAAAATACAAATTTACGAAAACAATGGCTTACTTACACCATGAAATTAGTTTAAGGCACAATAATCAATAAGAGATCAATCAATCACATAGTACTTAGTACTCGCTTTAATTAAAATTATAAGGTAACTAAAAAATTACTTTCATACAAATAAAAAAATAAAAAAGTTAACTGTACTTAAAGTTACAGTAATTAACGTCTTCTAACACAATTATGGCACACAGTTTTATAGTACTTAGAAATTCAAAATAGGAACATTGCTGTCACCCTTCATAAACATAGAATCACAAATTCTCTTAATACTATTAAAAAATACTATTATTTTAAATGTAGCAATTAAATATTTCTAAAAAATACAATTCAAAAAATCTTTGTACTTAATCAGTCTTATTACAATGATTCGTAAAATGGCTTGTGGTATCTAGGAATGAGGTTTTTATTGACCAAATCCATGAGATCAGCTTTTTTTCTCTCTGCTAGTCCAGGTTTTTGAAGATAGGCCTTTTGCAAATCTAAATGAATACTTTGGCTATTACGATTTCTATTTTTTTCACCACCTATAGCTTTCTTGAATAATTCGTCAGCGTATGATTCTTTGAAAAATATGGCATCGGGATCAGAGCTTTGAACTTTAATCATCTTGAGTCCAGCCAGTTTCACAGTATTATTGTCTTCATCTTTCATTATCGCAAAGTTCATTTGAGTGCATATACTTTTCCAATCAAAGAAATCATCGAAACACATTTCATTGACATGAAATGGCTCGCTTTTTTCCGTGCCGCCTTTATAGCCCCGATAAAAGCGTCAGGTGTACACATTGGTCCTGATCTCAGTTGCCTTTTAACTTCTCTCTCTATTTGAGGGTGAACTGAATCGCCCTCGTTCTGCGTATGTCCTTTAACGAGGTATTTGTGTGTAATTGATTTAATTGATTATTTGAACTGAGATTTGGCAGAGTTTTGACTGCGTAAGTGTACATTGAGATCATAAACTTTTTTTTTGCTGTCCGGCACAATTGTCCGAATAAAAGACTACATAGAGGTCTTCAGCCGTTGCGGAAATTTTCTCCAGGTATTTGTAAACACAGGTAGCTATTTCGTTGACACCTCTATTTGCGTTAGACTCATCCCATACATAACTCTCAACTGAATTATTTTGTAAGTTATAAATTGTTAAATTAAGTACATTTAGTTTTGACTTGTAGTAAAAAACTGAGACGTCTCCTTTGGGGTATTGAAACACTGCTTGAAGATCATAGACCGCTACTAAAATATTTTTGTTGTTCTTATCTTTTTCTTTTTCAATACGAGACAAATTCTTTTCCTTAAGGTGTAATTCATAATCTTGTTTCTTAGATTCTTTCTCTTCATCTGTAATGTTTTATAGGCTTCGCATATATCGCATAAATCCTTTTTAGGAGTGAAAAACGAAATGTTAAAATCTTGTGTGAAAATAAGATAAAATGTAATATAGGTTCCATATGGGACGTTTTGGGATTTGCATTATTCCACATAATCTCTATGAAGATCTGTGACAGCTTTACTACCATCAATATAATTTCGTTTTGAGTTAGCCCGGATATAATGTGACTCAATCTTTGGTACAGACTCAATAAACAATTTGATGCCATTTTTAATGCTTTCGTCCACTGCATAATGGATTGAATGAGTACCATGGAAGAAATATTAGTGTTTCTATTTTTCTTTTTCAAAGCAGTCTCTATGGGTCGATTATTAATCCCCAAAGTATTTTTGAAAAACAATTTACAAACTCTTGTTTTTTCACCCGAAATAGTCAAAAAGAAAGCGTTGTTGTTGTTTCTAATAGTTGCTACATTTCCATCCGAATCAAATTTAACGTAACGTTGTTTTGGGATGACTATGTCTACGTTATTAGCAATAAACGTCCATTGTTTTTCTATTGCACCTAAGCTCCAATAGTCATTTAAAATTGTCTTTCTTTGCTCCTCTGTAAATTTAGACCCACATTTAAATTTACATTTATCTTTACAAGAAGGTTTCAATTCACGACTTGGCATGTTCCTTTTTGATTTGGTAGATTGATAAGGCTTACCACTATTTCTTAGTCGTTTAGCTACATTAACTTTCCAGTTTGCTTCATTTAGTCTTCTTTTTTTACCAGTTTTAGTTGGACTAGAATTATACACTATTGGACTTGCAGCATTTTCGTTGCTTACGTTTTCAATCGCAGAAAGTTCACATGTTCGTTTGTAGACGAAAGTGGTTCCTCGTAGTTTTCAATGTTTATTGAAACCATATTAGATGTTACCAAATTATGATCATCCGAAATATTTGTATAGTTGGTAGTGATATTTTGTTCCTCGGCAGTATCAGAAGAATACTCAGCATGTTTTGTTGGTTGGGCTTCATAATCAGGATCCTTTACCGAGACGTCGCTGTCTGAAACGTTAGAAATGTAATCAATTTCTTGAAGTGTAGTGGTGTGGTATTGACTTTATCAATTACCCTCGAATTTTGTGAGACTAGTGGGATATAAATTAACTTACCTTGATTGGCCACTGCTTGAAGAACTGCTAGAACTCGAAGAACTGCTAGAACTAGAGGAACCGCTGCTACTAGTCGAATTACTACGAGGTCGGATGGAATTTAATGCAATGTCTTTGTCTACAAAAGGAATTGAAATAATGAATGAAAATTCTTTTGATGTCTGCAATGTATGGGTCGAACTTTTGGCTTTTTCATTCTCGTCTTGTGTTAAAATATCTATCTGAGAGTTTGAATTACTTAGTTGTACACTTAAATTATTTTTAACACCTGTAGCTAATTGAACTAACATCCTAGATCGTGATGCCATCTGAAAAACAAATTCGTAAAAGTTACTTTATTTTAGCATGTATAATGTAACATATTAGCATAATATAAACCCAAACTCAAAGGTTTTCAAAAATAATGATGTAAAATAAAATAACCCATAGTATTTGAAAACGATTCATCAACAACATGGTTACATTCAAAGATATCACAAAGAAAACTTGTAACTTTTTCATCAATAATGTGTCAATATTCATTATCTCATTCTAAATACTCACGAGTTTTACAACAAAAACGAGTTAAATTAGTACTATCGCGTTATTCAAGTTAAAGTAAATAACAACAAGAAACATACCTTTGCACTAAAAACGTGGTATACTCGTGATGCCACGTTTTTTTGTGAAAAGCAGGAGCACTTCACTCGTTTCGCGTGCGGGGCAAACTAACGCGTCGCGTTGTCGAAGTCGTGCGCCACACCGAAAGAGACAACGTGATAACACCATTTGCCACGGTCGTGTCATCTCTTTCACTAATAGCTCCTCGAACATTCACTTTTAAAATGCCGCGTTTTTGTAGATAATAAAATTCTACATCGCGGTTTTGAATATCAAATAATTAAAAAATACGTTTTTATGAGATGTCACGTTGTTCTTGTAAAGAGGCGACATGTATCCGTCTTACTACAAGATCCAACAGGCAAAATTGCAGTGTTATCCGCTGAAACAATCAATAATTGTTACAGATTCGGAGGCTAAGATAATGTTTCAAGCATTCCTTAATGTCCCTGTGAACAGGATTTTTAACAGTTTGTCCAACAATCTTACAGACATGCAATTGACTCTTCTATCGAAATGGGGATTTGATGATGCTTTCGTTCAGAGCCGATATAAGCAGAGAATAGGAGATCATGATAATTTCAGTATCTTTATGAACTCCTTGTTGTCTCTTCAATTGATGACGTGGACGGAAATATTACTCTTTAGACAAATTCGAAACCAATTCAGTTTCATATTGTTGTTTGTAGTGCAGTTCAGTTTTGTGAAGGTAAGCGAAGCAAAGAAATTGCAGCTCAAACCCCCATCAAGTGCGATGCAAACAAAGTTGATCATAAACCGATGTTGAGGATGATTGATGGTAAGGTTTGTACTTATCTCTTAGAAGCAAAAATCAAGTGCAATATGCTACATCTGTTTAGCCAAGCCTACTGAAATGAACAGTTTATATTTGGTATCATCTAAAAGAACATCTACTGATGTATATGAATTCAGATTGTCGTCAATACACGCCCGTATTAATTCCATGGAGTGTCTGCTACACATTTTTATAGACTAATTTTAAAAAGTAAGCTTCAAGAGGAGGTGAACACAAAGAAATTTTAGAGTCAAGAAATAAAAATATTCCGGACAGATTTAAAGCTGATCTCAATTTATTATTCGACATTGTCAAACGTAGATCGGGAACCACAAATGATGGGAACACGGCTAGAAGATATTTTGAGTTTCCCGATAAAACTGCGGCGATCACTGGTTTTGACAAAGAGCTTGTCCGCAGAGACGCTGTGATTTTGCAAGCCATAACATCTGGAGAGGTAATCGATGTCATGAAATTCGATGATTTTACGTATAATACAGCCCGAAGGAACGTGAAATCATATTTTTGGTACTACATGTTAACGACCATTCATAAGTTGCTGATTCATGGAGCAGATACTTATATCGTTCAAACGCAATGCAATTGCGCCAATTGGGTGCATACTAGAAGAAGCTTTAGAAGCTCGGAAGGTTTCGGGGACATCATTCCCTGAAAAAGGGTAGAAAATCTTCTAATGAGGATATCCTTAACATGCTTATCATAACTTTCGATACTATTATTAACGCAAGAAGACCTTATATGGATGCCAAAAAAGTCACTATTTAGTGAAACTTAAGACTTAATACGGATTCAGGAAACCCAAATTGAATTTTTGGATATGATCTGTATAAAGTCAGGTCAGAATATTTTCGATGTTCAATAGTTCCTATTTCTCATGGTGAAGCATATCATATAACTAAGAGTCATTATTAATTAATGATTTCTAAAAAGATCTGATTACGACTCATTAGTAGTACGGGCAAACACTAATCATTTTATTATTGGTTTTTGATTAGTTCTTAGAAGACTTAAGTATAAACAAAGATATTTTTATTACCATCGGATGAAGGACGGTTTGATGTTGTAATAAACCCTTCTTCTGGCATATTTTTAAGCAAGAAAATACTTAGTACCAGTTAAGTAATAGTTAAGTATCAGTTATTTTTCTGCATTAAAACAAGGCTGAAAATAAGAAAAATCTTTTATTAACAATTTAAAAAGTGCAGTATTTTCCATAATATAAAGTATGTCGAAAATCATAAATAATTAGTACTAAAACTCTCTGTAAGAATATAATGCGTCATTGTCCTATTCCAGGGTGTACCATTTTTCGTTTTTGGTCCGTACATTTATTTTGTTTCTTTTTTTTTTCGTAAAAATCATAAGTCTTTAGTTTTTAAGGCAAATTACTTTGTGTGACATTTTTGACCTTCGTAATAATAAACAGAAGCCATTTAAAGCTTAAAAACAACACTTAAAATTTTAATAGTCTATGTCTTCGAAACGAGATTTTCAATCCAGTGTGTGTCCCTTCAATGGGACAGGAATTCAAAGAATCTCCGGGAGGAAAACCAGCGATGCGACTTGCCACCTGTTACGTTATATCTCACTGAGGGATGAAAGAGTGGATAGCGAAAGCCCGTATGGCTACGCTGAATATATGTGGAGCAATGAATAAGAAGATATACGAAATCTATGAGAGCAGTTTTGGGATGTGGTTAGGATGATTGATGAGAATGATGATGATATGTAAATGAAAATGTTAATTATATGTAAGAGAAATGAAAAAAAATCTGATGTTAGGAGATTTTAATTGAAATTTTGAGCTGAAGAGGTCTGGGCATGAAAAAATATTGGTAACGTTTGATTTAAAGCTATAAATGAGAATAGTGAAAGCCTCCTTACCGTATGTGCGGAAAAGAGTTTTTTTTATAACGAACACTTTATTTTGGTCATAAGAAGATTCACACGGAAGGAAGTGATGATAAAAGCATGATAGATTTCGTAATTGTCAATGATACCTAGGTGGATTGAAAAGTACTCGGCCTAACACAGATCCATTCAATTCTAAAAATCAAATCTACCCATATTATTTAGTTCAGTTCAGACTAGTTCATTGTGTGAAGTTCGAAACGTGTGCGATAATTAGTTGTGATTTTATAAATTTATTAACAAAGTAATCGGACATAATTTCCGCGAATGGAGCAAATCGAGCAGCGTGCCGTCATTAAGTACCTCCATAAGAAGGGGCTATCATCAAAAGCCATCCATGATAACATGGTCAGTACATTAAGCGATTGTGCTCTGTCATATTCGTCCGTCAAAAAATGGATAGCAGAATTTAAGCGTGGTAGAGAGAGTGTGAAAGATGAACCCCGCTCTGGAAGGCCTTCGACGTCAACTAGTGACGAAAATATTAAAAAAAGTACCTGATTTAATAATGGGAGACCGCAGATTAAAAATTAGAGAGATAGCCGAGATTATAGGCATCTCTTATGAACGAACTCAAAACATCATTGTCAACGAGTTGGGTTTCCACAAGGTGTCTGCGAGGTGGGTTCCGCGACTGCTTTCAGTTGAACAAAAAAGGACGCGATTGACTATTTCACGCGACTGTTTGGAGTTATTTGAAGCCGATGCAGATGATTTTTTGAATCGTTTTGTTACTATGGACGAAACATGGGTTCATTACTGTACACCGGAAACAAAACAACAATCAATACAGTGGAGAAGACCTGGTTCACCACCCCTAAAAAGGCTAAGTCGATTTTGTCGGCAAATAAGGTGATGGCTTCAGTATTCTGGGACTCGAAAGGTGTGATTATGATTGATTATCTTGAAAGGGGTCAGACTATAAACTCTGATTACTACTTCACCTTACTACGTCGTTTACGAGAGGAAATAAAAGAAAAACGTCGAGGAATGCTCAGAAGAAAAGTCCTGTTTCATCAAGATAACGCCCGTGTTCACACGTCAGTACAGTCAATGGCTGAAATTCACAACTGTGACTTTGAACTGTTACCGCATCCGCCGTATTCATCTGATCTGGCACCATCAGACTTCTTACTGTTCCCTAACCTAAAAAAAGCACTTGGGAGGTCAAAGATTTTCGACAAACGACGAGGTCAAAGCAGCTGTAGACGCATATTTTGACTCTAAGGAAGAATCTTTTTTTTCAACGGTCTATATGCTTGGAAGGGGAGGTGGCAAAAGTGTATTGAACTTGATGGTGATTATGTAGAAAAATAAAAATATAACTGATTTAGTATGTGTTTATTTTCTTGGTTAGGCCGAGTACTTTTCAATCCACCCTCGTAGACTGAGAAGCGCAGTAGTAGATATAAGTGTTTACTGGGGCCCAACGTAGGGACGAATTATTATTTGGTCTATTCAGATGGTAGCGGCATCGGACTTCTGTTTCTACCATTGCATTACAGCGTATTAGAATAGAGAGGTAACAAGGTAAATGTGTGAAAGAGAAGTATAAATGTAGATTGAGGGAAAGTACTAGTGGGTTGAATGATTTGTGTACGTATACTTTGTGGGATAACGCCAAGAAAAGTTTGTTGGATGCAGCTACCGAAGTATGTGATATATAGAAACGATAGTAAGAGAACGAATAAAAGAAAAATAGTACTTTGGCCTGGGTGCTACAATTCAAGTAGTGAATCGACAGTCGTCAAGTGTTTCACTAGTCTCCTGCGCTTCGTATCGTGAACTAAACAGTAGGATGATGAGTTGCTGATAGAAATTGAAGCAAAGGAGAAAATATGGCTAGATTTACTAGCAACCAATGCTGATTATTCTAGCAGTATGAGTTATGAAATTAAAAGAAAAAAAGTAGATTTTAGATGTCTAAATAGGAGGTAAAGGGAAGTAGTTGAAAGGAAAAAGCAAAAAAAAATTAAATAAGAATGATAGCAGGACATCTGATGATTTTCATGCAAAAATTAAACTATTCTGGAAACTATTAAAAACTACCAAGGAAAATTCAAAACAACCTAGAGAGAATATTGCACGAGATGAAATCGGTGGTTATCTGAATGACGAAGTTTCAAATTTTAAAGAGATGGGAGGAATATTTTGATGCGTGTGTATGAGTGGCACGTTTGAATTATTTGAACTAGAAATTCTGAAATTAAAGTCTCTTCATAAGGACTTTAGTGCTTGTGTCAGGATCAACGGGGCCTACTTGGACTTGGTTAGCATTCACGTACTCAACCAAGTCCCCTTTTATTCTCATTTTACACATCCTTTTTACTTTCTGTTCTTTCAAAAAGCATAAGTATACTGAACGACGAGTGAACGCAGTAAGAGACCCTTTTTACTGGAATCGAGGCATGCCATCTCAGTCCTCAGGGCTGGAAACGCATCTGCATTTTGATTCTTAATTAAAGATAAATGTATGACTGTGTGCCCGTTTGTCACCCTTATTCTATAAAATATAATAAAATTAATAAATAAATAAATAGCCAGTAGAGTGAATGGGGCTCTTCACTCTATTGTGGGGAGTCAGAGTGTTTAAAAAAAGGTACGATTGGCAATTCACAATGCTCTTTTAGTCCATCTCTAATGTATGGTAGTGAAAGTTAGGAGCAGAAGAAGCTTAAGAGTACAATAATTGTTGTGTAAAATGAGGAGTATATTATGAAGTATATAAGTCCGTATACTCTGCCTACCCCTCTGGGTTACGTTCGTGAGTTTTTATGTAAGTTTATGTTTGTTTTAATTTAAAATAATTTACAATAATAGGTACCTGAACAAGAATAAACCCTTACCTCAGGTGTACCTGTGTTAATAAACACATAAACAAATATTTTGGGCTGGGCTTAATCTACTCTCGTTTCTAACATTTTGATATTATCAGTAGGATTTAATTAACCCCTAGTCTGCTTTCTTGTGGAGCGAGCAATCTGGCGAATGGCTTTGGGGGAAAGTACAGGTCATGTTGATCCCCAGGGCCAATCCGAGGAATTCTTCCTTCACGTCGTTGCCACCTGTTATTTGGTCAGGTTCAATAGGAAACAGATAGAATAGAAGCATATAATGCTGGTAAAATTGCTATAATACCCTATACCAAAAATACACGGTAAAACAAATTAGTCACACCAAAACTATTAGCGGTTATTATAGACAATCAACTTGCAGACAAACTCGCACGGAAGGGCATAAGGAGTACACAATTTGGGCCTGAGCCATTTTGTGGAATCTCAAGAATCCTTTGAACCTTGAAACTCTTTAGGTTAGGTTTAACGTTAAAGAGTTTATTATCTCAAAAAAGAACAAATATTCACTTATATGAGACTTAAAAATAACATAATTGGTAAAAATAATTCATTTAAATACGGTGATTTATATGAATAAAGTTACATAAATATAAAAAAAATTAGGATTAAAAAAGCACTGTCTTTAAATTATTGTTTCACGGGCTTTTTAATTTATCTTTAAATTTTGAAAACGTTTTTTCATGAAATACCTCATTCGGTAAGCTATTGTAAAATAGCGCTCCCTTAAACTGAATAGTTTTCGAACCATAAGTTTTAGTCTAAGAGAATTTATTTTTAGAATCTAAGAGAATTTTTCTGACTAGTATGCACGTTTAGTATTTATATAATTGACTTACGGATAATGCATCAGTTTTTTTATAGATCTCTTTAGTAGGAAAGCGGTAGTCAAGTTGGAATAAAACTTTTAACAATTTGTTCTGGGATATATTTTTTTTTAATTTAAATTCAAATAAAATATTATTTTTATGTTATTCTTTCTTTTTTTTTTTTGAAGATCCTTTATAATTGTTTCACATGCACTTCCCCATATCTCTATTAAGTACTCTAGTAATGACTTAGCTAGTGATTTATAAATAATATTTCGAACTTTATAAGGTATGCAACGTGTAGATCTGCGCAAAGCTCCTGTCAATGATGTTATTTATGACTGCAGGTAATCCAAATGAGCTCGCCATGTTAATTTAGAATTTAAAAAAAAGCTCTTTATCACAATAAATCACTTAACATCTGGTCTGACACACCAGGCTTAAAACATTTTTAAACCCTAAATCCAGGCTTTTGATTGTAAATTCACTTCTGAAGCCCTGAGATTAACCAAAAATTAATTGCGCATCCTGGCAAGAGCCCTAACTGGAAACTGTTGTCTTAAAAAGCACATCATGTCCGTCTTGGGACTAAGACACTCAAAGATGTGCCAGTTCTGTTCCATAATGGAAGAAACACCTCTGCACATCCTAGCTGATTGCGGAGTAATAGCTATAGCATGATGCTATTTTACAGGAGCGACCAAACGATGGCTGAGATTTGCCTCCAATGGGCAATACAGAGGAAGAAATAAAAAGTTCCATACCCTGAAGTACCACATCAGTGACAGAATCCGCAACAACGCTGAGATCGTCCGGCGAGAAGCAAACCCGCCCCCAAGGGTAAGATGCAAAGAAAGACCGCATAAAACCGCTAAATTATATTGCTGCCGCGTTTTGCTCGAACGATCTAGCTAGACAGCTGATAGACACATCTGTTGGTCGAATTAATCTATAAAACATTGACAAAATGACAAACAAGTCAAATTAATTTTTAAATTCCCAGAACTCTTTAAAAACAGCTTCTCTATCTACTTCTGAAAAATTTTCTTTGCACTTTAACCGACAGCGTTCGCTACACGGTGGTTTCTAGCATCTTTTTCACCCTTGTTTTTAGTGTTACGTAAGCAGATCCTGCATTTCTGAGGATTTTACATTTATTTTGTAACCATTCAGTTGGTTGAGCTACACGTTATTTCTTGTCTGGTATAGTGTCATCTAGGCTTGAGTACAATGTTGATACTGAAGATGTAGCTGCAGGTGTAGCTTCGAAGTTAGCTTGGATACCAACATTGTCTTCAGTTTCGGAATCGTCAGAAATTTTAATGGAACGAGGTTCTTCAATTTAAAAATCTGGATCTTTCACAGAATCATCACTATCCTCATTTGAATTTGAATTAGAAGTGTCTGAAGAACATGTACTTTCTGTATCTGAAGAAGAATCGGTTGACGAGTCATCAATAGGCTTCTAGATTTGCTTGGAACTCTGGTCTTTAACTTCTATTGAACTTGTAGATGGTATCACTTCAGTATTGTAAGTGGCAGAACTACTTATTGTTATATCTGTAAATGCAAAATCGAATCAACAATTATAATGACTAGTAAACAAAGGCAACTTTTATATCAATTGCACAATAAAATACTACCATATTTTTCACTTTGAGTGTGAGGATCATTTGGCAAATCGAAATTAACTTTCTCGATGGGATAGCTTTTGAAATGTTCACTTGGAGATAACAGTGTTTCAAATTCCGTAGTGTTCTTGCTGGAATTAATTCTTGTCTTATCTGTAAAACACATTTTTAAATTAGCACATCGTTTCAGACATCAAAATTAAAGCCATCATTGCTCCGATTGCACGATAAAAAAAAACCTTTTTCACTATCAGCTTCGGGAACAGCTATGAAATCTTGATTAGCTCTTGCAAGGTTACATTGTGGTATATCGAAGTCAATTTTCCCGGTTTCTGATAGATTGTAAATAATATCAAAATCCGATTTTTCTCTTGATTCTGAAAAAAATATTAACAAGAACCTATGATGAAATTCACTTGTTTACATAAAGTTAGGCGCTTCAATTAATTCGTTATACAAATAAAGCCAAAAACGCAAAAACAAAAAAAAAAAACTAAAAACAAAAAAAGAAAACCCAAAAAAAAGCAGCGAGTTTTAGAGTTACAGACGTATCCATTTCAGAGAATATAGTTCATAAAATTTTAAGTATTTCTGTATATTTAACTCAAAATTCGACTTTTTCGAGTTGTAACACTATTTTATCGGAGGTGTTTATCATTGTCTTTGATAATAAGATCTATTGCATAGTGCCTTTGGTTTTGTTTAAAACGAAAAAATAGTTTTTTCATAGGGCAGTAATTCTGATCTAATTAGTGCTCTTTTGGAGCGGACGTAAGGTAGGTATTGTATGATCTAAAGTGCGCATCTCTTGAATAGAAGAATAAATAATTTCTCTTAAAACGTGCCTCGGGAGTGTGGTTTATGGCAATTTATTGAAGAGGCTCATGATCCGTAGTTGGCTGATGATGGGGTGTAATGGTAATGATGATAATACTATTTTCTTTGTCATGCGAGCTTAAACACACAGCGTATTCAATACAACAATGTGACGGCTATGTTTGTGGAGGCATAAAGTTATTGATTTTATAATGTACTATGCTATCCACAAGAATATTGTCTCACTGTTTAGACGTGTGCCGATACCTTGAACTGAATTCTGGGCTCATTGGAAAATATGTAGAATTCTTCACTGCTAGGGCACTGGATTTGTCTGCATAATTTGAGCTCTCCGCAAAGCAAAGATAAAATAATTTTGTCACTAATAATATTACTTATATTTAGATACATTTTAATTGTTACTAGTACCTATGGATGAAGAATTCGAAATAAATGTTTTTAAATTGAATTAGAATATGATTAGAATATGATGCATCAACTTTTTCGTTACACATTAAATAATATGCAAGGCAGTGGTTCATAAAACATCTAGATCATTAAAATAAACGTTTTGTTATCTTTTAATCGTTTACGAAGATATTACATCTTTGTGTAATAGCTTTTAAACCACTCTACGTACTAACTAGTAGGAGCATTAATCTAAAGATAACAAAGCGTTTAACTTTGTCATCTCGGGTATCATTAGTGAGTGTAAAGCTCAAGAACATAACATCGCTAGACGGTTTGTTTAAATCTTGATTTAAATAGTTAGAGTCCAAATTAATAGAGCCATAGTAGCTCAAATGTTTAGCGCTCGCATTAAATATTACAGTACGCGAGCAAGCCGGGTTCGATCCCTGCCACCAATGAAATTAATAACTGCAATTTTAAGTGCTGTTTTATCACGTGTTTTGCGGTGAAGGAAAACATTGTGGGGAAACCTGCATATCTGAGAATTAAGAAAAAAATATTTCGAAGACTTATGAAGTTCGCTAACACTTTTCAGGGCAGTGCTCTGGACACATACTGGCCCCAGATATTATTATGGTTGCTGCATGAATGAGTCGGCTCGACCAGGGAGGACCATGCTGTCACAGAAAATTGGCGTAAAATAGCAGCTTAATACTGCTGTGCTTCGTATGGTGAGTGAAGAGATCCGGAGACCTTTTTTTACTGGAGAAGAGGCATTTTACCTTAGTCCTTATGGGTGACCACGCACCTGCGTTTTGATTCTTAAACGAGGATAAATGTAGATATCTATTTGCCATAGCAACCACTTACCATTAGGTTAACTGTGTCCTCGTTGCTCACCCTAATTCAATAAAGAAAATGCTGTAACTTAAGTTTAGCTTAAATTAAATAGTTTAACTTACGTTCAAGATGCTCTAACCTTTTTAGTCATAAATGTTATTTAAATTTAATATGTGTAGGTGACGTTAGAGAATTTCTTGAGAGTGTTTTAAAAATAAATTTAAGTTTTTAGTAAGCGTCACGTAATTTAAAGATAAGTAATCAAAAAATAGAAACGTAAAATAAATGTAAAAACCGGTTCAACAAGTAAAAAGAAAATAATTTCCACGTTAGACATCAAATAATTAAAGTCCCTGCTTTAGAAGTTTCATAGAAAATTGCGTGAAATTTGTTTAAATCTCTTAATTTATGAAGTCGGTTTTTACTATTTTTATAAAATATGGACAAGAAACGAGTTCACCCGATGAATGGATGATGCAGCCCATAGCACATAGTAAATATTATCATTTACTATTAATATTAATACGTACAAAATTGAATAAAACTATTATTTACGGATTTTATCGCGTTTAATTCAACTTTAATTTATTTTCTATGAATTCAACAGTGTGTACAATGTGTAATATTCGCGTAAATTTAAGAAATCATTAATATGTACAAAAGTTGAACTCCTTTGATGTTTACTGCTTGCCGATGTTTAATAGTCTACATAATTATTAGAGATGAGATAAATCGCGCACGCAAGCTAAATTAAACTTATTGGCTGCGGGCGAATGTATTACTTCGAATATTTCCCCTTCCTACGTCACGGTGGACTTTCCGTGGTTACTAAGGCTAACAATAAATAGTAAAAAAATACATTGCGAAATGGTAATTAAGTTACTTAGATGAAATACCTATTCTGACTATGATTGACTGACCACAATTTCGTACACCTACGTAAGTTCTGTAATGCCCCACGCATGCAACTTATAAGGCCATTTCATCGAGAATCACGATGCTTGGTTCGGAAGAAAGAGGTTTATTATGGTAATTTTTTTCAAGTTTGTTTGTTGTTTATGAAAAATTTACTTTTTTGAAAATGTTGTTAGTAAACAAACTTATAATTTCATTATTTTGTGTTATTATAACTAAATATATTTTAATTATAAAAGAAAAGTATAGGTATGTAAGTAGATACGTACGAAGGTATGTATTTTTATTATTTTTTATTATGTGTGAGCAGCTATGCAGGTCTAGGGAAAGAGACCAGTATCACTGCGACCTAATAGATCTATTGTGATCGCTGTTATGGATATAGTTCACTGCTAAGCCCTAAGTCTTCAATGAATAGAAGAAGTTGCTTAGCCGTGAGCAATTTCACTTCTTCTGGGCGGAATACATAGTAGAGTCCGCAATCAGTTAGGACGTGCAGAGGTGTTTCTTCCGTTATGGAACAGAACCGACACATCCTTGATGTTGCTTAGTCCCAGGATGGACATGTGCTTTTTAAGACAACAGTATCCAACAAGGGCTTTTGCCAGAATGCACAATTTATTTTTACTTAATTCCAGGTCTTCTGAAGCAAATTTACGATCAAAAACCCGGATTAAGGTTTAAAAATATTTAAAGCCTGGTGTTTCAGACCTTCTTCTCATCTTAAGTGATTTATTGTAATAAAGAGTTTCAAGGGTCGATGGGGCTAGGCTTCCTGAGATTCCACAAAATAGCTCAGGTCCAAATTGTGTGCACTTTGAGTCCTCCCGTGCAAGTTTGTTAGCGAACGAATTTCGTTGGCTACAATACCCGCGTAACTCGGAAATTATCTTAAAACGACCCTGTTGTTACATCCCAGGGCGTTTAAATGGTTCACGCAGTCTCCAACTAGCTTCGAGCTCACCAAGCTTAACCTCAATGCCAGCAGCGCTGCCTGACTATCAGAGTTTATATAAATTATACGGTTGACGTAGTGTTTTGCAGATTGATTTCCGCACACCGAAGTATGGCGAAAATTTCTGCCTGGAAGATAGAGGTGTATCTGTCCAAATTCATACTAAGTTTGAATCTGGGGCGTTCCCCGTAAATTCCAAAGCCTACGTCGAGGCCCATTTGATCATATGGTATGAGGCTACCGACCTCACAGATAACCTGGCCATTCAGCCAATCTTATCTGGAGGGTAATTCCACTATATACTTTTTATCAAAAGTATATAGTGGACGCATGATATCATAGATCATGAATAAGACCGGTGTTTCCTTAATTGAGCCGAGCATGGAACTCAATCTGTAGAAGAGCAAGCTCAATTTATAAATAAAAAATTTCTTGGTCTTTTTCTTCTTTCCGGATAAATTCATATGTAATATTACATATCGCCTATAGAAGGTACCGTCTGTAGCCGCACCGTCTATTACATTGCTTATTGTTAGTCATGGTATGAAGTTCCGCCCATAGGCATCAACGTCTGTGGCCGTATTTGTGGTATAATTTTTTTTAATTTATGTAATATGATTGTACGGCTGTAGACGTTATGATAAAATAAATTGTCATGCAAATGGTCAAGTGTCCCGGAACGTGTTAAGAATCAAAATGCAATTGCGTTATCACCACTGAGAATGCTTCATTTCTAGTAAAAAGTCTCTCCGGTTCTCTACACTCGCTTAACGAAACACAGCAGAATTAAGTTGGTATTTCACGCATAAATTACTGTGGAAACGTGGTTCTTCAAAAGAAAATTGTGCTATAAGGCTTTGAAATTACTTGTCTTTGTTTAAATAATTTAATCATGCTGACAAAATACATCAACTAATTTCGCCTTTCGTGAGACACTGCTACGTAAATTAACTTTAATGAAGTTGGGTATATTGAAATTACGTAGTAGATTATTTGATAAGAACAAAGTTAATGTTTGGGGGTAATGAACTACACTTTCGTTTATCCGTTTAAAGAGAGGAGAAAATTAATTAGTGTAACTTTACATTCTCAGCTTAAGGCAACGTTGTAATACTTTCAATATTTTTAAATCTCTGTAAATCTTCTTAGATATATTAATATAAATCTTGGTTTTCTTTGGTGACAACATGCATTTTGGTTCTTTGTCCATCACTTTCATCTTTGGCGTATATTTTTCGATAAATACAAAAAAATTAATAAAATTATACAAAAAACATTACAAAGTCCTTAGAAATAAATGAAAAAAGATAATTTTTCATCGACAATTTTGAAATCCGATATTTACTCGATGATACGAGCGTAGACTTAAGACATTTATCTGTCATAAAATTACCATCCGTTTTATATTATCTTTGAAATTCCTGGCTTCACTAGGATCGAAGAGGTAGCTCATAAAATATGGTAAATAAGGTAAATAGGACTTAGATATAAAAAGGATTGAGTCTCATTTATTTAGTAGTAGTCCTAACTGGAGATGTAAACTTAGATGTTATGCCTTGTGCTATAAAAGGGTATTCTGCAGAATATCTTAATATGTTATCTATGCATGGCTTACACGAACAAGGATGGAAGCGTGCTTAGATCATTTTATGGTACGAGCACAATATAGCATTCCATCTATTGTTTTTGATAAATTAACTGACCATCACACTATTTTATTACTTATTGACAGAGTAAAAATTGGTACAAACAAAACTAAATTTTATAAAGAAAAAATTGACTTTGACAAGATAGATGTAGGTATGAATGACCTTAACTGGGAAGAATATTACAGAATCGACAACGTCAATGATGCTACAGAGTACATTACAAATGTTATAAAAGATTTAATTCAAGCTAATACAATTAGAATAACTCTTTCTAAAAGAAATATGCCATTAAAACCTTGGATAGCACCGGGAGTTGTAAGATCAATAAGAAAGAGGGACAAATTACATAAACAATTAAAAAAGGATAACACTAATGAAGATTTAGCATCACACTACAGAAAATGCAGACATATATGCAATAACATAATAAAAAACTTAAAAAGACAGTATTACAAACGTAAACTTCACACCAGTACTGGAAATGTTAGAAAGACATGGAAGATAATTAAAGAAATTTGTAATCTAAGCCAATCCAAACAAATAACGACGGAATTATTAACAATTAAAGCTACTCCAAAAGCTTCACTTAATCTAGTAAACACCTATTTCACTACAATTGGTTCACAGCTTGCAAATTATACTCTGAACACCATAGGCATATCAGTTTCAGAACTTGCTGATAATGTCAAACAGATAGGTCCAACACATTCGATGGCGTTTTGCCTAACAGACTCTGAGGAAATAAAAACTACCATTAACGAACTTAAATCAAATAGTTCTCCTGGCTGGGACAAAATTACTGTTAATTTCGTTAAAAGGTATAGTAAAATTCTTTGCGCACCTATAGCACATCTATGTAATACTAGTTTTCAAACAGGGCAATTTC